AGTGCATTTGGCAGACTATACAAACGTGTCTGGAACAACAGAAACCTTAAAAGAGCCACAAAGGTCAACGTCTACAAAGCTGTTGTGCTGACCACTCTCCTGTATGGCGCTGAGTCATGGGTCACGTACCATCGTCACCTGAGTCTCCTCGAGCGTTTCCATCAGCGCTGCCTCCGCACAATCTTCAATATTCACTGGAGTGACTTCGTCGCCAACACTGAAGTCCTCAAGTCAGCGAAGGTCATCAGCATCGAGGCCATGGTCCTCAAGACACAGCTTCGTTGGGCAGGGCACATCGCCAGGATGGAGAACCACCGCTTGCCTAAGATTGTGCTGTATGGGGAACTGTCCTCTGGCCATCGCGACATAGGGGCACCACGAAAGCGATACAAAGACTCCCTGAAGAAGTCCCTCACTGCTTGCTGCATCGATCACCGTCAGTGGGCAACACAAGCAGCTGATCGCAACTCCTGGCGGCACACAGTCCACCAGGCCACCTCCTTCTTCGAAGATACCCGCAGGGCCCGTATGGAGGACAAAAGGAGAAGGAGGAAGAACCGTGATCCCTCAGCACCCATCCCAGATGAGACCTATACTTGCAGCTGTTGTGGCAGGACCTGCTTGTCCCGCATAGGCCTCTTCAGCCACCAGCGTGCCTGCAGAAGACGTGGATGTCCTTCCTAGATCTTCGTTCGCGAAGCCAAGCCATGATATGAATGGGCTGACAAGCGCCAGCCCGGCTAGCCTTAAAGAGACACAGGGGAGGTCTCAGATAATGGGCAGGGGGATATAAAGAGTGAGCGGAGGTGGGGCTGGTGGTTGCTGGGGACAAGAGTGAAGACACCTCGCTGCTGCCGCTCAAGTCGTCAATGGACCTCAAACCTCACGAGTCGCCGGGCGGATGATGGTTGATCCCCCTGCCCGGGACAGACGAGTGAGTGGGTCTGAGGGAGTGTAGCTGAGGGCAGCGTTGGAGCGTGAGAAGCTGCTGGGTGCTGAGGCACTGTGTGCAAGCCTCTGGGTGAGAAGCTGCTGGGTGCTGTGTGCAAGCCTCTGTGGAAGAAGAAGGTGTGTGCCGAGGCGTTGTGTGCGAAGCCTCTGGGAATGAAGATGCTGATTGCGACTAAGCTGTGTGCGGAGTCGCTGGGAGCAGAGCTGCCAAGGGCAGGATAGGTGAGGGTTAACATAGAGACGAGTGGAAGATGTTAGATCTAAGTGACCGTGTAGATAGTTCTAGGAGTGCCTACAACTGGTGCAAGAATAGGTTAATAAAGTGTAAGCAGGTGACTTGTTACAACGTGTCCGTCTGAGTGATTTTTCAAGACACTGCACAAGAATAAACCAGATCCACACGTTAAAAAGCTAAACGCTGACAAGGTTGTTATTTTTTTTTATTTGTCTTCATTTTATTATTGACTTTACCGAAAGAACAAAAGAATATGGCTTCATACTCTACTCAAGATGTGGGAAATGGGCATGGCTACCAGAGTAGTGGGTAGGGGGGCTACCTGAGTTGTGGGCGGAGTTACCTGAGTAGTGGGCAGATCTACCGGAGTAGTAGGCGGGGTTATCTGAGTCGTGGGCGGAGGCTATCTGAATAGTGGGTGGTGCTACCTGATTGGTGGGTGGGGCTATCTGATTAGTAGGCGGGGTTAACTAGGTAATGGGCGGGGTTTCCTGAGCATTGAATTTGCAGTGGAGCGTGTGGGGGGAGGGGGATTTTACACAATCGGTGGGACCTACATCAGAGAGCAGAATCCGCTCGATGCGTGGGTAGGCCTAGTGCAGGGGTCGGCAACCAAAATAACAAGAAGAGCCATTTCTTTCCAATTCGGTACAAAATTCAGTATTTCAAGAGCCGCAATGCATCTGAGTACATACTGTACATACGTACATATCGTCAAGAAGCAGCCCGTAAAGAGCCGCATGCGGCTCCGGAGCCGCATGTTGCCGACCCCTGGCCTAGTGGTTTGAGTAGGCGTGGCTATTGAAAAGTAGGCGTGGCTAGCAGAGGGAGGGGCCTGCTAGCTCGGCTTACATCCTGGTTGAGCCTCCCAGAAATGTGGCAGCCTCATGACAATACAGTAGTAGCCCTCTTAACGGTCACCCTTGTTAACGACTAATTCGCTTTAGGACGGGGCCTCCATGAAGCCAAATATGTTCGCTTGCCCGCCACTTTGCGTAAGAGCGCAGAAGTGTAGTCACCACATCTACGCCTAGATATAAAGAATGAAACAGTTAGACTTCTCCACAAATCTGGCTGTGGCCTGATGAAGCTAGTTGTAATTACTGGCGAAACGTCGTACTCAGATTGTAAATGTTGTGGCTTGGCTCTCCAACACACCGGTGTGCTGTACTAGTGACGAATTGGCCACGTTCTGTTTACGTGACAACCCTTACTAGTTGGCTGTGTCGGGTGGTGGCAGGTTTTAACCACACATTCATATATTTATGCGATCTAATCCAAAAAAACTATATTATGCATATTCCTTTTACTGTTATGTATTTCCGAGTTCATAAAGCTTGTCTTTGCCAGGCAAACGTTTTAAAAAAATATAATAATTAACTTAATATGAATTTGTTTCTACGTTCAAACACTACAAAAATGATTTTTCCGCAAAAAAGAAGCATGTTGACGACTTGATTCAACTTCTTATCTTAAGACGTACCCATCGGAAACCGCTCTATTTAAAGATTTTGTTCTTTTTTGTATTAGAAAGAACAAACATTTATTAACTTAATACTCTATGAGGGGAAGCTCCTATCTTTTTAAATCCTTTATATTAAGTTCGCTTGCTTGCTTGCTTGCGCGCTTACGACCGTGCAAATCTTTCGGTCGTTTTTTTATTTAAATCCTTTATATTAAGTTCGCTTGCTTGCTTGCGCGCTTACGACCGTGCAAATCTTTCGGTCGTTTTTTAACCCACTTCCCGTGATCCAATCGAGCTGACATTTTCCACACAGACTCGTTGTGCGTGACAATTAATTTTCGTGAAAAAACAATTTGCTAAATTGTACACTTTTTAGGAATTTTTTTTATATTTAATTACCAATTGCTTAATGCTGCCAGGCAATCATCTGACCCATAGGTGGCAGCCATCTCAAGCCAGAGGACGAGAGGACTCTAGCCGCCACGCATATAAAGGATTTATAGTGAAAAACTTTGTTTTTACGGGTTAATTTTTACCGTTTAAAAATTATTCAGATTTAAACGTCATAAAATGTGTATTTTTTCATTCAAAACCGCTTGAATCCGAAATGTATGAAAATATATATAAGAATGATTCTCGCTTAGATTTTTTTATTGCTGTTTAACGTTATATGAAACGAAAAAAACGCAATCTCATATTCTGAACGGTTTCTGAATGAGACCATGATCGAACATGTTTATAAGGCACTTAAAATCGAGATTTGGGGACTTAAAATGAAAAATCTCGGATTTTCAGATTTTTCTGTTGCGTTTGTCTTAAAAGCTACGTATGTACCAAATTTCAGCTTTCTACCTTGTCGGGAAGTACCCTATACGTTTTTGAGACATATAGATAATGTTGCTAGTATCTTTACGTATTAATATCCATTGTTTAAACATTAAATAAAAAAGGGTAACTTTCGATGCTATCGGAACGAATTAAGCCTTTACCATGTATTTCCCTATGCTCGCTTAACGACCACATCATTTAACAACCAGTTTTGTGGAACCAATAACCGTCATTAAGAGGGATTCTACTGTCCATGCACTGTGCAGCATATCTGTATAAAATACGCTTTTTTACCTACAAGACCTGCTTTAAAAAGGTCTCCAAACAGCAGTTGACAATATATGTTTGTGCCGTTCATTGTCATATTTGCTTAGAATGTATCAAATATGAAGTGCTTTACAAGACATGGATACACGCGTTGGCAAATGGGAACACGTGATTTCACATTGCACATGAATAGTGATGAATAATGACAAATGCATCGTTTTACAGCTTTTGGTGGCACTAGGTTGCATTATTGAAACAGACAATTTACGTCTACTCCACAAATCTGGCTGTCGCCTAATGAAGCTGGTTGTAATTACTGGCGAAACGTCGCTCTCAGATTGTAAATGTTGTGGCTTGGCTCTCCAACACACCGGTGTGCTGTACTAGTGACGAATTGGCATGTTCTGTTTACCTGACAAACCTTACTAGTTGGCTGTGTCTGGTGGTGGTGGGTTTAAGGACACATTTATATATTTACGCGATCTAACCCAATTAAACCTGTATTCTGGAGACAATTCATGATTCATTGGGTTCACGGAAACCATCCGAAGCTCAGATGGTCAAACCAATACATATTTAATAATCCTGAAGATTCAGTAAACAAAGAGCCATGGTGCAAGGACCCTGAGACACGCCTAGGAGCCAAATATATTCGGAAGAGAATAAAGGTGAGGGATTATTAAAACAGCATCTGAACATGAAGATGCAGTGGAATATTAAGCGTCATCATTGTATTGTTAACACAACATGGGGAGTTGGTGTGGCACCGTACTTGCTCCTATGGTTTAGAAGGCAAGATGAAGAGGTCATCACGGACCAACGCCGTTTGATGGCACCACAACACGCCATCACTTCCATCTGCCAGCGTCCCGCAGCTGCTACACGGTTGGCACCCAACCTCTAAGGAGCACTCTTACAGTCTCATCATCACCACCACCACCACCACGATCTGGCTTTAGGTCACCGACCCCTGCCTGCCTGTTTCAGTAACCTCCCTTGCACACGTGTCCCACCCATCGCAATCTCCTCTCTCTCTGATTGCATCTACAACACCCTCCTGCAGCATTCATCTTCATACAGAAGCCACACTGAGATTAAAGGAAGGTTTTTGAAAATAATTAGGGGAAACGTTTTAAAAAAAATCTTTATTGACCCTTGCACATCGCGTAAAAATCATTAATACGTATTTTTTTAAACCTCTCCATAATCCCTCGTGAGTGTCAAATGGATTAATGAATCCACATCATACAAACTTGGAATTTCCATCAGCAGTAAGCACTCGAACTGCATTTACGCTACCGTACAGTATTCATATTGCTGATGATTATTTTCAGCCCTTTGTCAAATTACTGCTGAATGAAGGTATCCCCAATGCTCATGTGAGTTATAGGGGGCGTCTGACCATACTTCACACTGGTCAGTGCGGGTTGGTGAAGTGGGTGACCAGAACCAGTTAAGATATCACACGCCACTGATCTTAACCATGGCCTGGAATCAAACCTGGGTTACAGAGTTCATAGTGCAGTTAGCTCACCGTCTATCTGAATAATTTAAACATATGTCATCTGCTTATTCAATGACTCATACGACTAAACCATGTTCAAAGGGGTCCTAGCGTTGGAGATGTTAGGCCAAATCGGTTTAGAGGGAATTTTGCACTTAGAACGTTTACCGAGATTGTCCTGTAGATAGTCCCATTCACGTCATAGGAATGTGGAATTTCCACCACAGGCTCAAGCCTACGAGCAGAAGAATGCGGGACTCACTCTCATTTCAGCATGGACACACTTTGACCTTTTTTTTTACAAAGGTTCAAACACAGAAATCCTTCAGTGATGTATTGATAGAAGGGCTTTCCTTTAGGTAGAGTGAACAACGACTGATCAGTTAGGACAGATGAAATATTTTCAGTTCGGTGTTATAACAGCAGTGTGATATCACCACTGTCATCATCACCATCGTTACAACCACCACCGTCACCACAACCGCCATCACATCCACAGCCACAGCTATCTGGTCGGGCAGCACTACAGGTGGAGCGGAGCGTTCAACTCCCTGACTCAGGACAGAAAGTGAAATCTCCGTTGGAGTTCGACTTCATCACCCCAAAATGGGTCGATAAAATGAGTACAGTATTACCCCGATTTACGTCTCTCCACTTTTGCGTCGTTTCGCCAATACGTCGTCACTTTATGAATACCACTACCCGATTTGGGTCGCCTCAACTCCACACTTACGTCGCTGACGGCATCACCCGTCCTCTCTCGTTATCCATCGCCTCTCAGCCTTCGCCTCCCAACTACCCTGCAAATTGCTTTGAATAACATCGTTTCGATATTCGTCATCGCACATTTCAGGAACGCATCCCTGACGTAAACCGGGGTATGACTGTACCACTATGTTGGTCATTCAACCGTGAACATCCAATGGAGAGAATGGCCCCTCCACGGGCATGTGGGAATTCCACGACTTGGCTTAGAGCCACAGACGGAGACAATCGCTGCATTAGTGCTCATTTGAGCAGGTTGGCACTACCACAACCACCATCATCACCACTGCCACCATCACCACCTCCATCTTTACCACTACCACCACCACCATCAGCAGCAGCACAATTGCCCGTGGTGGCCTCCAGAAAGCACAACTTTCTAGCCGCCTGTACCCTCATCTCGGCATTCACGACCGGCCCGACTCTGCAACCCAAACCGAGCGAGCGCAACTCCACCGCGCGAGAGACGCCTCCACGGAGGGCACCCTCCTTTTTGGGCCTCGCCACCATAGCGCCGAGCAAGCTCTTCTTGAACGTGTCGCTCAGCGCGATGTAGAGGAACGGGTTGACGCAGCTGTTGAGGTAGCCGAGCCCAATGGCGACGTCGTAGACGACCAGGTGAGGGGGCACACGCGGCTGGCACAGCTCGATCAGCTGCAGGGCGTAGAAGGGCGCCCAGCACGCCACGAAGGAGACGCACACGGCCAGGGCCATCCTGGTGATGCGTCGCGTCCTGTGCTCCAGCACGTTGCTCCCGCAGCCCCCCCTTGCGCCGCCGCTGTTGCTGCTGAATGCCACGAGAGGAGGAGAGGCGTCGAGCTTGGACATGTGCCGGCAGGATGCGCGCGTACGTGGCGCAGATGACGAGCACGGGCGCGGCGAAGGCGAGCACGAATTGGTAGAGCGTGTACCAGTAGATGTCCGTGCCGGGGTTGGGCAGCAGCATGCCGCAGCGGGTCCTGCCGTCGGCGGTGTGCAGGAGGCGCGCGAACAGCCACACCGGGGTGACGGTGAGCAGCGAGAGGGCCCAGGCGCAGAGCACGACGCAGAGGGCGAGGCGCGGCGTGCGCATCGGTGCGGAGCGCACCGCGTAGACGGTGGCCAGGTACCTGTCGAGGGTCATGAGCGTCAGGATGTAGGTGCTCGCGAACTGGCAGGCGGCGTCGGTGGCCGCGATGGTCGTGCACAGCGCGGCGCCGAACTTCCACTCGCCGTCGCCCACGAGCTGGTGCAGGAGGAAGGGCATGCCGAGCAGGAAGAGGGTGTCCACCAGGGCGAGGCTGAAGATGAAGACGTCGGGAGCGGTGCAGAGGGCGCGGAAGCGCCGCGCGCGCTTGCGAAGGAGCGTGAAGAGCACCAGCAGGTTGCCGGCCACCCCCATCAGGCAGATGGCGCCGTACAGGGCGGTCATGAACACGTCGGAGGGCACCGTGGCGGAAGGTGGCCGTGCGGCTGAATGGGAAAGCGCGCGCGTGCAGAGATGTGTTAGGTCGTGGTGTTGTTGTTGTTGTTGAAAGTTTGGGGGTGGTGGGAGGGGGGTGGAGAAACACGCACACGCATGGAATACGATGTGCCCGCTTCCCAACAACGCGCGCTTGTCTTCGGGGGTGTTTGATTAGCGGGACGGAAAGTCGATGGGTGGCTGTCGGGAGTGAAATTGCGTGTGCGTGCTTGCGACAGCGATGCAATAGGATTCATTCATCCACGTTGTCATTCATTCAAATATAAAGCAGCCGCAAGTGCGTGTCGGTGATGTATCTCAACGCGGTGATGTGGGGTGCGTTACCCAAACGCATGCAAGTATATAATTAATTAATTGCTTCTATAAATAAGCTATGAGTCTACGGGGGATGTGATACATGCGGTAGGTGCAATGCATACGCAGGCATGCACGAGGAGTTCATTCATCCGTGCATGAGTGCATTCATCCACCCCCATTAGTGCAGCTGGTGGCGTGTTGCGTTGCCATTTCGGTGTGGATGTGCAGTGCGGCCGCACGTGAACTCAGAGGCAAATGCTGTCCATTCCTTCATCAGTTCATTCGTTTTAATAATTGCGGGCGAGAGCCTACGAACGACTTGGGTACATTCACGCGGAATCAATCATTCATTCGTCTATGCGTTCATGCAAATGTGTATTTCCAAGTGCATTGTTCACACGGTGAGTCCATTGAGACAGCATATTTTACCCTTGGGGCTGCGTCTGCCCACAGAACGCTGAACTCATTCAATATTTCATTTGTTTACTCACTCATTCCTTCATTTCGATCAATATAACCCTTTTATACGAAAGGCTTAAAGGACACGATAGCTGTGTTGGAGAGCCTTGAGATTTGAAGACTAAATGCGACACACGAACCGGACAGATTATTCGACCGCCTTCGCCTCGACCGGGAGCTGATGCTGACTGCACCACCACACAGTCGATTGCTTTCAGGCTGAGTCGATCTAAGGGAGGCACGTTCCGTGCACCATGTGCACGATGGCCGGCGCTCGGAGACGGCTGACAAGGATCGTAGCGCTGTGAGCAATCACTTTTCCACATTCCTATGGCGGGGCCAAGTCATCCCGCATCGCCTCCTGGCTAACACGCAATGCATTTACCAGAGTGTGCCGTTCATGTCAGCGAGCGCCTATTAAGGGCGGGACGGCACAAGAGGTGAGTGGTTGTCACCACGCCCGGCCGCCTTTGTCTCCCCAATGCTGATGTGTGCACACCGTAACAGGTACTCTACTCGTTTAAATCGACTTGGGAGACAGGCTAAGGTACCGCTTGTGTGGCCGTATGCATAGCATCCAAGAACGTAGGTGGCCGGATTAGCGACCACCTCGTTGCGATTTGCGGCTCACGGCTAACGTCAGTGCCACGCAGGATCCGAACTTGTCCTGGACCTCCTTGGAGACAAAGGCGGCCGGGCGTGGTTGGTGGCCACCCACCTCGTCGGGTGCAGCGCCGTCCCGGCCATCATATAGGTGCTCGCTAACAGAACTTGCCCCAACAATCTACGGAGGCTACACCGGAGCCCGTACCTCCGTGTGCACGCACATTTGCGGCGTGAAGTCGTGGGCTCGACATTGTACGCGCGTGCGCGTGTTCGTGCGCGTGCGTCTTACCCGTAGCGTACACGCCGGTCTCGTTCCCACAGCTGGCGTTACGACACGAAGGGGTCGTCGTGGAGAGATTGGACACGGTGACATCCATGCTGAGTCGAAGTGCTCCCGGCTCTCTGCTTTGACGCAGTCGACAAATCTTCCCACCTTGCTCCGACTCTCCTGGTTTAAATATATGTGTGTGTGTGTGTGCGTCTCTCTCTCCCTCTCTCACTGAGACGCATGCACTGGGCACACGTGTGACGCAAATGTGCTTGGCTCTCAAGTATCACAACTCTGCACGTCTTCCCTGCCTGTAACTCCAATAACCCAGTCACCCCTTGCCCTCTCTGCGTATCTCCCCTCCCTCCATCCCCTCTAACCGTTCTCATCCCGACACTCTCTCGAGATGATGATGTTGTTGGTGCTGCTGCCCTCCTTGTGTTGAATCGAGCACTGCATTATGTGAGAGAGACACTGACTATGTGGATATCACGCTGCATATTTGGAGTTTGAGCGTCTCTCGCTCGTCGTGGTCGCGTGGATTTTTCTCCGGGTCCTCCGGTTTCCCCCTGCACGTTTAGAATCGACATCACGCGTTTAGACTATTTGGCTGCTATACATTTCCACACGATGATGATGATGAGACACTTTTGTTGAGCTTTCATTTGTGATAGCCAGGTCGCTTTGGAGAAAACAAGCTAATATCTCAGTGGGCTTGACCTGGCAAGCGAATTATTTTGATATGTTTCCTGTATGAATAAATATTCGGATTAGGATTAATTATCCACACGCGTGCGTGCATGTTTAATCATGATCATTGTTCATCATCAGCTAGATCCTGTGATGCGACAATCCACCCAGCACCTGCCTGGCCACCAGTTTGACCTCCATCGCGTCTTCTCCTCGGTGGACACGAACTCTGGGACGCATTCCATTCAATTGCCATTGACGTATATCCGAGCCAGTTTCGCAGATGTACACGTACTTGTGCGTAGGCCGACATAAACAGCCTTTTTGGTCAATACACTGCTGGATGAGGGCTTTAAGACGCTGTGTGCTCGTCGGGGATTATTCGACCATACTTCACAACGCTGGTCAGTGCGGTCAGTTGAAGGCAGGGAGCAGAGACGCGGGGGCAGAGACGTGGGTAAGGAACACAGTGAATGTTGCTGGGTTGTCCTCTGCTGCCCACCAAGTAGCCTCGCAACCTCCGATGACAACCTCTTTGTGCTTGGTGGTTACCTGCTCACATTATCCAGTGGTTGGTGAGTGGCTTGTGTTGGGTGGGTGTAGTGGTTGGTGAGTGGCTTGTGTTGGGTGGGTGTAGTGGTTAGTGAGTGGCTTGTGCTGGGTTAGGTGTAGTGGTGGTGAGTGGCTTGTGCTGGGTGGGTGTAGTGGTGGTGAGTAGCTTGTGCTGGGTGGGTGTAGTGGTGGGTGTAGTGGTGGTGAGTGGCTTGTGCTGGGTGGGTGTAGTGGTGGTGAGTGGCTTGTGCTGGGTGGGTGTAGTGGTGGGTGTAGTGGTGGTGAGTGGCTTGTGCTGGGTGGGTGTAGTGGTGGGTGTAGTGGTGGTGAGTGGCTTGTGCTGGGTGGGTGTAGTGGTGGTGAGTGGCTTGTGCTGGTGGGTGTAGTGGTGGTGGTAGTGGTGGTGAGTGGCTTGTGCTGGTGGGTGTAGTGGTGGGTGTAGTGGTGGTGAGTGGCTTGTGCTGGGTGGGTGTAGTGGTGGTGAGTGGCTTGTGCTGGGTGGGGTGTAGTGGTGGGTGGAGTGGTGGTGAGTGGCTTGTGCTGGGTGGGTGTAGTGGTGGGTGTAGTGGTGGTGAGTGGCTTGTGCTGGGTGGGTGTAGTGGTGGTGAGTGGCTTGTGCTGGGTGGGGTGTAGTGGTGGTGTAGTGGTGGTGAGTGGCTTGTGCTGGGGTGGGTGTAGTGGTTGGGTGTAGTGGTGGTGAGTGGCTTGTGCTGGGTGGGGTGTAGTGGTGGTGAGTGCTTGTGAGGGGCTTGTGCTGAGTGGGTGTAGTGGTGGGTGTAGTGGTGGTGAGTGGCTTGTGCTGGGTGGGTGTAGTGGTGGGTGTAGTGGTGGTGAGTGGCTTGTGCTGGGTGGGTGTAGTGGTGGTGAGTGGCTTGTGCTGGGTGGGGTGCAGTGGTGGGTGTAGTGGTGGTGAGTGGCTTGTGCTGGGTGGGTGTAGTGGTGGGTGTAGTGGTGGTGAGTGGCTTGTGCTGGGTGGGTGTAGTGGTGGTGAGTGGCTTGTGCTGGGTGGGTGTAGTGGTGGGTGTAGTGGTGGTGAGTGGCTTGTGCTGGGTGGGTGTAGTGGTGGGTGTAGTGGTGGTGAGTGGCTTGTGCTGGGTGGGGTGTAGTGGTGGGTGTAGTGGTGGTGAGTGGCTTGTGCTGGGTGGGTGTAGTGGTGGGTGTAGTGGTGGTGAGTGGCTTGTGCTGGGTGGGTGTAGTGGTGGGTGTAGTGGTGGTGAGTGGCTTGTGCTGGGTGGGTGTAGTGGTGGTGAGTGGCTTGTGCTGGGTGGGTGTAGTGGTGGGTGTAGTGGTGGTGAGTGGCTTGTGCTGGGTGGGTGTAGTGGTGGGTGTAGTGGTGGTGAGTGGCTTGTGCTGGGTGGGGTGTAGTGGTGGGTGTAGTGGTGGTGAGTGGCTTGTGCTGGGTGGGTGTAGTGGTGGGTGTAGTGGTGGTGAGTGGCTTGTGCTGGGTGGGTGTAGTGGTGGGTGTAGTGGTGGTGAGTGGCTTGTGCTGGGTGGGGTGTAGTGGTGGGTGTAGTGGTGGTGAGTGGCTTGTGCTGGGTGGGTGTAGTGGTGGTGAGTGGCTTGTGCTGGGTGGGTGTAGTGGTGGGTGTAGTGGTGGTGAGTGGCTTGTGCTGGGTGGGTGTAGTGGTGGTGAGTGGCTTGTGCTGGGTGGGGTGTAGTGGTGGGTGTAGTGGTGGTGAGTGGCTTGTGCTGGGTGGGTGTAGTGGTGGGTGTAGTGGTGGTGAGTGGCTTGTGCTGGGTGGGGTGTAGTGGTGGTGAGTGGCTTGTGCTGGGTGGGTGTAGTGGTGGGTGTAGTGGTGGTGAGTGGCTTGTGCTGGGTGGTGTAGTGGTGGGTGTAGTGGTGGTGCGTGGCTTGTGCTGGTGGGTGTAGTGGTGGTGAGTGGCTTGTGCTGGGTGGGTGTAGTGGTGGGTGTAGTGGTGGTGAGTGGCTTGTGCTGGGTGGGTGTAGTGGTGGGTGTAGTGGTGGTGAGTGGCTTGTGCTGGGTGGGTGTAGTGGTGGGTGTAGTGGTGGTGAGTGGCTTGTGCTGGGTGGGTGTAGTGGTGGGTGTAGTGGTGGTGAGTGGCTTGTGCTGGGTGGGTGTAGTGGTGGGTGTAGTGGTGGTGAGTGGCTTGTGCTGGGTGGGTGTAGTGGTGGGTGTAGTGGTGGTGAGTGGCTTGTGCTGGGTGGGTGTAGTGGTGGTGTAGGTGGTGAGTGGCTTGTGCTGGGTGGGTGTAGTGGTGGGTGTAGTGGTGGTGAGTGGCTTGTGCTGGGTGGGTGTAGTGGTGGGTGTAGTGGTGGTGAGTGGCTTGTGCTGGTGGGTGTAGTGGTGGGTGTAGTGGTGGTGAGTGGCTTGTGCTGGGTGGGTGTAGTGGTGGTGTAGTGGTGGTGAGTGGCTTGTGCTGGGTGGGGTGTAGTGGTGGGTGTAGTGGTGGTGAGTGGCTTGTGCTGGGTGGGTGTAGTGGTGGGTGTAGTGGTGGTGAGTGGCTTGTGCTGGGTGGGTGTAGTGGTGGGTGTAGTGGTGGTGAGTGGCTTGTGCTGGGTGGGTGTAGTGGTGGTGAGTGGCTTGTGCTGGGTGGGTGTAGTGGTGGGTGTAGTGGTGGTGAGTGGCTTGTGCTGGGTGGGTGTAGTGGTGGGTGTAGTGGTGGTGAGTGGCTTGTGCTGGGTGGGGTGTAGTGGTGGGTGTAGTGGTGGTGAGTGGCTTGTGCTGGGTGGGTGTAGTGGTGGGTGTAGTGGTGGTGAGTGGCTTGTGCTGGGTGGGTGTAGTGGTGGGTGTAGTGGTGGTGAGTGGCTTGTGCTGGGTGGGTGTAGTGGTGGGTGTAGTGGTGGTGAGTGGCTTGTGCTGGGTGGTGTAGTGGTGGGTGTAGTGGTGGTGAGTGGCTTGTGCTGGGTGGGTGTAGTGGTGGGTGTAGTGGTGGTGAGTGGCTTGTGCTGGGTGGGGTGTAGTTGTGGGTGTAGTGGGTGGTGAGTGGCTTGTGCTGGGTGGGTGTAGTGGTGGGTGTAGTGGTGGGTGAGTGGCTTGTGCTGGGTGGGTGTAGTGGTGGGTGTAGTGGTGGTGAGTGGCTTGTGCTGGGTGGGGTGTAGTGGTGGGTGTAGTGGTGGTGAGTGGCTTGTGCTGTGTGGGTGTAGTGGTGGTGAGTGGCTTGTGCTGGGTGGGTGTAGTGGTGGGTGTAGTGGTGGTGAGTGGCTTGTGCTGGTGGGTGTAGTGGGGGTGTAGTGGTGGTGAGTGGCTTGTGCTGGGTGGGGTGTAGTGGTGGGTGTAGTGGTGGTGAGTGGCTTGTGCTGGGTGGGTGTAGTGGTGGGTGTAGTGGTGGTGAGTGGCTTGTGCGGGGTGGGGTGTAGTGGTGGTGAGTGGCTTGGTGCTGGGTGGGTGTAGTGGTGTGTGGGTGTAGTGGTGTGGTGAGTGGCTTGTGCTGGGTGGCTTAGTGGTGGGGTAGTGGTGGTGAGTGGCTGGGTGCTAGGGTGGTGTAGTGGCTTGTGCTGGGTGGGGTGTCGGGTGGGTGTAGTGGTTGGTGAGTGGCTTGTGCTGGGTGGGTGTAGTGGTGGGTGTAGTGGTGGTGTGAGTGGCTTGTGCTGGGTGGGTGTAGTGGTGTGTGGGTGTAGTGGTGTGGCTGGTGCTGGGTGGGTGTAGTGGTGGGTGTAGTGGTGGTGAGTGGCTTGTGCTGGGTGGGTGTAGTGGTGGGTGTAGTGGTGGTGATTGGCTTGTGCTGGGTGGGGTAGTGGTGGGTGTAGTGGTGGTGAGTGGCTGTGCGGGTGGGTGTAGTGGTGGTGAGTGGCTTGTGCTGGGGGGTGTAGTGGTGGGTTGTAGTGGTGGTGAGTGGACTTGTGCTGGGTGGGTGTAGTGGTGGGTGTAGTGGTGGTGAGTGCCTTGTGCTGGGTGGGTGTAGTGGTGGGTGAGTGGGTGGTGAGTGGCTTGTGCTGGGTGGGTTGTAGTGGTGGGTGTAGTGGTGGTGAGTGGCTTGTGCTGGGTGGGTGTATTGGTGGGTGTGTAGTGGTGGTGAGTGGCTTGTGCTGGGTGGGTGTAGTGGTGGGTGTAGTGTGGTGAGTGGCTGTGCCTGGGTGGGTGTAGTAGGGTGTAGTGGTGGTGATGTGGCTTGTGCTGGGGTTAGTGGTGTGTGATTGGCTTGTTTCTGGGTGGGTTTTATGGGTGTAGTGGTGGTGAGTGGCTTG